ATAGTATTATAATTTTGGGTATTAGGAAAAATTTGGCAGATTAAAAAAAAACACGCTGAAATAAAAAATGAAGATTTTGTTTTTAGTGTTCTGAACATTTACTTACCAGAAATTACTCACTGTGTGAGCCTGAAAGATAGACGAGGCTTCATTAAAGAAAGTGGCGGAAACGTTGAGCTCTTTTCTGGAGGGGTAATTCAGTGTCCCCATCCTGATGAGCAGACACTTAATTCTGTACACCTGACAGACTCCAGGGGTTCACAGCAGTGGTGAGTTACAGGCCTGGTGTTCAATTTCCTGCAGATGCTTCTTAGCGACAGGTAAAACCATCAGCTGTGATTGGTGGTGATGGCACATGGAAACACAGCTTTTATTTCAGTTCTGCCTTTTGAGAGGAAAGTCTGTATGTTGAAACATAAAATCACTTCAGTGAAAATGGGAAAATGGAATGCCAAATGACTCTCACTGTCCAAACTACAAAGTGTTGCCAAGCAACAATATACTTAAAGCAAAACTGCTAAGCATGATGAACTTGGAATCAACAAAATTCTGTTGAAATTTAGACATAGAAATGAGTCCAAAGCCAAGAAGATAAATGTTGTAACTATATTATTTAAAAATATTCTAGTTAGCTATCTGTTGTTCTCACCGTGTGGAATGTGGTTGACAAAGGCATTGAGATGGTCATTTCATTGCTATGTCCTTCCCTGCCCTGGGTGGACCATCATCTTCCTCTCATCCGAAAGATTCCCTATAACATTTCTTCCAAAGCAGGTCGGATGGCGATATATTAAAAACACCTCGTCTCATTGAAAAGTCTTCTTTGCTAAAGGATATCTTTGCTGGGCATGTAATACTAGCTTGACAGTATTCTTTTCGGGTATTTTAACAATGTTACTTTGTTGTTTTGTGATTGATGGATGTCACTATCACCTTAACTCTTTTGTATGAAATGTGCTAATTTTTTCTGGTGTATGATTTTAGAATTTTCTCACAGGTTTTAAGCAGTTTTGATGATTTAGAGTTCCTTTCCATGTGCACAGGTATTTGAGCTTCATGAACATGTGATCTTATTATTTTTTTCACCAAAAATTGTCATACTTCTTTAGTGTCTGAGTACCTGCTTACAGTTATTTAAAATCCCACAGTTGCCTGTAAGTCCATCGTGTGTGTATATATGCATCCGGTGCTTTGGTGGCCTTGAAGGTCAAATGCCTTATGACTGGAGTTACAGAGAGTTGTGAGTTGTCATGTGGGTATTGAGAGTTATACTCAGATCTTCTGGGAGAACAACCCATGCTCTTAAGTGCCGAACCCTTTCTCCAGCCCCTCCCTTAATTTATTTTTATTCTTTCTTTACTTTGGATTGTTTATATTACTTTGTCTTCTAGAGAATGCCGTTCTCCTTATGTAACTATAGTATGGTATGTGTGGAGAGGTATGTGGTGTGGTATGGTGTTATGTGGTGCGTGCGTGTGTGTGTGTGTGTGTGTGTGTGTGTGTGTAAGTGTACACATTTCATTGCCCACATACAGAGGTTAAAGGGCAACTTTCAGCATTTGGTTTTCATCTTTCACCTTGGTTTGAGGCAGGGTCCCTGTTGTTTCTAATGATCTACAGCATGCACCTGGCTTGCATACCCACAAACTTCCAGGTGATTCTCTTTTCTTCACCTCGCATTTAGCCAGTGGAGTACAGGCATTACAGATACTCACTACCACATGTGGCTTTTCATGTGGGTTCTATGGATACCAAACTCAGAGTTCATCAAGTTCATACATATGTACTTTAACCCACTGAGGCATCTCCCCAATCCCCAATAGTAGCTTTTAATATCCTGGACTACTGTTTGCTTGTATCTACTTATATTGCTGAATAGTTTCAGAGTTTTGTTCCATTACTTTAGTTTTTCATCCTTATGAGTAATGTTTTTAACCTTCTTTGGCATGCCTGGTAAGTTTTGGTTCCTCTCTGGTCATGTGATATTGATATTGAGTATATAGTGTTCTTATAGACTATATCTGTGATCATTTTTCTGTCATACAATTAAGTTACCTGCAAGAATTTTGACCCTCAGAGTTTTACTTTTACATTTTGTTCAGTCAAATGTTGCCACTCTTAATCTTGCGTTTATCTTCATAATACCAAAGTAACGTCTGCCGGGAAGCCCTCCCCAGTCATGAAGTTTTCCCCTATACTAAAAATCGGAAGTTGTCCTCGTCCTGTGCAAACTTCAGAGATTCTTGCAGACTGTGCAGGATGTGTTCATCTGTTTCCTGTTTCTGCATGATCATTGAATATATTTGAAAAAGGTTGAATGTGTATTGTGCGGTACAGAAATTCCTTTCTGCTCAACATTTACCAAGTGGTACAGTACAGCAGCTGTTTCCATAACATCGAGTTTAAATAATCAACACATGGTTTAAAGTATATGAGAAGATGTACATAATCTATATATACGTCTCATACCATTCTGTGTAGGCAGTGAGCATCTGAGGATTTTATATTAGTTTGGCTCCTGGAACCAATCCTCTGAGATGCAAAGGGACAGTTGGTTGAATAGGTTAGTCATTGAAGTTGTTTAATTTCAAAATTCATACCATTTTGTTATCCCAGAGCTTCTGAGTGCTTAATAGCTGACATAAACAACAAAATAACATAAAGTATTAAATATAATACATGTACAATTATGAAAAAGAATTATTTAAGCTGAACAAAGAAGGATTGATAAACACATAGAAAGACTTTAAGAGCATGTTAGAGTGGATTCCTCTCAAAATGGAGGCAGCCATAGGTGAGTCCTGATGAGCCAGAAGTCACTCTGACTACACCATGAACTGTAAATTTGAAAGTAGGTGACAGTGGGTGCAGCTGGACCACACGGAGCAATTATAGTGTGTTTTGTAGGAATGGGAATGGCGATCTGGAGGTGTCTGTCCCAGCTCTTCACCTTGGTGTTGTAGTATGACACAAGCCATAGATAACACAGGAACTCCCTACTATAACAGTTCCCATCAAACTTCACAGAAACAGGTGGTATTTTTTGGTGATCTTATCTTTGAGTTGGGTTAGATAGATGAAAATATGTTTTAAATATATTTGGGAAGTGTATTTAGTAAGCTACATGTTGGGGTGGAGGGGAGAGGAGAACATAATCTCTGGGCTGCGAGTTAGAGTCAGGTATGGGTACTACAGCAAGTGAGTAAGTGAAACTCATTAATCTGAAATAGAAATGCAAAGTTCCACCATTTTCTTTCCTCTTTGATCTATACAAGAAAATATTAAAAATACTTTTATTCTTTTGTATATACCCATTACACTAAAATTTCTCAGAAACCAATGAATAATGGCATTGACCAACTCTCTGCCAATAGAATAAAAATTTATATATATGAGAAAAAATATACTTATATATAATTAAATAAATGTATCACGAAAATGCGCACACACACATATATATTATATATAAACTCATTATATTTGGAAAGATGACCTTGAATGTCTAATTTTCCTGCCACCATGTCCTGGGTGCTGGAATTAATAGACATGTCCCACCACACTAGTTTATACAGTGTTTGGTAGCCATCTCAGGACTCCATCTAAGCAAGCACTGGGTCACATTAAAAACATGGTTCCGTGGGTGAGTCACTTGTTACATGTCTGTGAGGACCAGGGTTTGGATCAAAAGTGTTGTGAAAGGTATGGCAGCCATGTATAATCCCATCACAAGGGAGGAGAAGAAGTGATTCCCCAGGAAGCTGGCTAGCCAGACTAGCTAAAGCATTGATCTCTCAGTTTAGTGAAAAGCCCTCCCTCCACACATATGATGGAGAAAGATGAAGAGTCCTCATATTAACTTCAGGTCTCACACAAGTGTACCCATGGTCCACGTTCACTCACACATATATGCACAAACGTGCATACATATATATTACACAATCATATGTGTGTGTGAGTATGTTTCTGAAAATTAATGAAAAATGTGCAGTATTTTAAGCTTCTATTGACTCATTGGTAGTGTGTCAGTATCTTTATTTTCTTTTCCTCCAAAAGTAATACCCCTGATTTTTCCTGCAACTGCTACTATATTGGGATTACCAGAATATACAGGTTAGAGAAAATTTAATGCAGATTGTCATCGTATGTCAGTGGTACTAGAAGTAGAGGTGCACATGCACCTGAGTAGGTCTGCCTTCTGTAATCCCACAGGACTTGCCCCACTCACCCCCTCCTGAGCCAAAGTGGCCCTGCTTCAATGGTGTCCATACTATGAATATGTCAACAAGGTAATGCTATTTTGGCTGTTGTGAAATAATCTTTTTGTACACTGTGATGCTGTGTCCTTGCCATGGCAAATTCTGATCAGTTCAATAAAAATCTGAATTTCAGGAGTAGATAGGCAGGATTTGGGAGACGCAAGAGAAACTCACGGTTAGAATCTAGGTACGCAGGAGAAGCCAGCGAGACATGGAGCAAATCATACATACAGAATGGAGAAGAGGTGAAAAGTCACGTGACAGAATGTAGCTGAGTAGAAACAGGTTAATTTAAGTTACAAAAAACTAGTCGGAAATAAACCTAAGCTAAGGCCAAGCTTTCATAATTAATAAAAAGTCTCTATGTCATTTTATGGGAGTTTCTATTAATCTACATTCTACCTATTTCTATCTGCCAATTTATATTAATCGACATTTTACCACATGGCTTTTCACCTCTCCTCTGTTCTGTACATCTGACTTGCTCCATGTCTCACTGGCTTCTCCTGCGTACCTAGATTTTTAACCCTGAGTTCCTCTTTTCTCTCAGAAATCTAGCCTATCCTGTTCTGCTTAGCTATTGGCCATTCAGCTCTTTATTAAACTGATCAGACTTCGCCATGGCAAAGACACATCTTCACAGTGTACAAAAGGTTTATCCCACAACATTTGGCTTCATTTGGTACTTCAGTGAATTTAGGATTTCATCTCTGATGAGCTCTTTATGAACTGTTGGTTTTACAGGCTTTGCTGTCAGTACATGATACTGTGGCTCAAAAGAGTTATGATCCTGTATTGCCTCCTATGCCTGATGATATCGATGATGAAGAAGACTCTGTGAAAATAATCCGCCTGGTCAAGAACAGAGAACCCCTGGTGAGGAGATGTCATGGGGGAGCTGAATGGGATGGGTGTCCAGCACTCACACTTGTCTTTGAGCTATGCTGCTTCTGAGTCCCAACATCTTAAAACAAACTGGACATTTACATCCAGAGAATATGGCTTAGAACAACTAGCAAAACTCCAAGTAAAATAATAGCATCCTAACTATAGCCTTGAAAATATAACCTACTAAATTTGTAAGAGGAAATTTAGCATGTAGCAAGGTATGGCTGGTTGGAAATTAAATGATGCAGTTGAAAAACATTGCTTTAGGCTGTTCTTGAAAATTGATTTATTTTAAAATTATGCAGAGAAATTAACCTGACACCTAACATTTCACAATATACATAGAACTGTTTGTTTTGGCACTGGAATTCCTGTGATGTTGGACCATATCAAAGGACCTGGGCCTAGGGGAGTATTGCCCCATTTGCAACCAAGGGTCGACTTTCCATGATGTTGCTATGGATCTCAGGCAGAAAAACATCCTAAGTAATCCCAACTGATATTTTGCCTCTCTGTGTGTGTGTGTGTGTGTGTGTGTTTGTAGTGTACATACATATGTATGTGTATGTATGTCTGTGTGTATGTGTTTATGTCTCTGTGTGTATGTATGTATGTATGTATGTATGTATGTATGTATATATGTGCACCACATCTGCACTCACATTGATCCCCTGGGACTGGAGGTATTGCTGGCTGTAAACTGCCATGTAGGTGCTGGGAATTGAGCCTGGGTCCTCTGGAATAGTAGCTCAAGCTCTTAACCACTGAACCATCTCTCCAGACTACATCATAGGATATTATATGGATAAAATGAAGAGAGAAAGCATTCCAAAAGTAAAGCAATACAAAGTAGATAGTTTAAAGAAAAAAATTGTTTTGCATGAATTGGAAGATATAAGATTTCACCAATCTTTAAACTGTACTGAATCACCAGGTGCTGTGTAGCCTGGGTTTTGGTATGTTGTAAGGGACCTCTGAGGGACAGTTGACATGTCTGTTCTTCCCACTTTGTTCCTTTCTCATTGTGATAGTTTCTGGGTTTTCCAGATGAAAGTTATTTCACAACTCTACCTTACAACACAGTTTAAAAAATCTGCCTACAAATGCTTTTTTTCCCTCTCCCACCTTTTTTTCCTTGAAAGGGTGCAACCATTAAGAAAGATGAACAGACGGGGGCAATCATCGTGGCCCGGATCATGCGGGGAGGAGCTGCAGATAGAAGTGGTGAGAACCAACCTCTTTACTCATTGAATAAGGACATTATGTATGTGCCCATCGTCACAGTTCTGGGGAGGTGGAGTCCACAGAACAATGTTTGACCAGATCTTGGTGTACTCCACACCATTAGGAGACCCATTCTCAATGACAGGTAGTTCATGCTTGTGAGGAATGATGCCAGATTTGACCACAGGCCTTTACACAGACTTGCACACATGAAATACATGGCATGTACACACTCACACTAAATAAAAGTAGTAAATAATAAAAATGATTATTTTCTAAGGTATCAATAATGGGTGTTTCTAGATAGAGACAAAAATACTGTTATTTGATTTACTATATTCATCATCAGAGAACAGCATCATCAAAGCACGTGAGCTGTGAAAGACAGTTTCTTTTCTTATATTTAAGTTACTTTAAGTAACATCACGGTGTCATTTTGTGACACTGTTGATTTACCAGGTTTTGTATTTGTCAGGTCTTATTCACGTGGGTGACGAGCTGAGGGAAGTGAATGGGATCCCAGTAGAAGACAAGAGGCCTGAGGAAATAATACAGATTTTGGTAAGCTGTCAATTCATTGTAAATCTCAGTGAAAATCGAATCGCTGTGCTTTAGGCTTCTTAGTCTGATTTAGATTCGGCCCTCCAGATCTGAAGTGCTGCGCACAGTTAGAAACACTTCTGTACATGCAGTGTCAAGATTTTCATTTACATGACTGGAGGTAGCAGTAACGATCTGAGAAAAGGTTACAATATATGCAGGATTTCAGGCCAGTGTGAACAGATGGCGTCTACACTGCTGTTCATAAGGCTTTTGCCTCTGCCTGCCCCCATTGGTGCTAAAACTTGAGTGAAATTGTTTTAGGAAAGGGAATTGTTAAGTCTTACGTTCAGGTGTCAGGGTAAAGTGGAGACTGCCCCTGGATATAAGAACATGCAAACCTACAGCAATAGAAGCTCCTTGCATACCTCGGCACAGCTGTCATCATAAATGTCCATTAACAAGGAGGTCTGCCCTCCGCTGAGACAATCAGCAAGTATCTGTGGGTCATGTGAGTAGGCACTCAAACTGACTAAGTCTTTCAGTGGACTTGTTGTTCATGATGTTTATCCCACCACCAGAATAAAACTGACCTGACTGTGCTTGCTTTCTTTTTCTGATGCATATTGCTGCCAAATGAATCCCATATTAATAACTACAGAAACAACAGCATCTGGTATCGGCTTTTTATTTCACCAAATATGGTTACCAACACTTAGATGCTGGGAGCTTGTTTTTGTGTGATCCGCTGTAGGCATTGACCCTTGTGCTCATCATTTTGTGTGTTTCTGTTTTGATGGAACTTAACATGAATGGCAGTTGATGTATTGCTACCTTAAGTGCACAGGATTGAAAAGTGCAAAAATGGTCTTTAAATGACCTGGCATACTTTAGAGCTTTCTTGTGTTTCTGGAATTTCTACAAACATACTCTTCTGGTTTGGTCTAAGTAGAATGCTGTACATTCCTAGGCATGTTTAGCTCTCTACCTATCTGTTTTATTTCCCTCCAGCTCTCTAATGACCCTTTCTTTGATCCCCAATACCAGAGTCAGTCCCAGGGAGCAATTACATTTAAGATAATACCCAGCACCAAAGAGGAGACAGCTTCCAAGGAAGGCAAGGTAAGTCTTCAAAATACTGTTTGCAGTGGGGAACTTAATGTTATTTTTTTCAACTAATACATATATACTTTGAAAATAACCATTTCTTATGTCTAAGTTGCAAGAATGCAGACAGCTTCACATTTTTCTCTCCCATGTATTCCTCACTTCCAGATGTTTATCAAAGCCCTTTTTGACTATGATCCAAAGGAGGACAAGGCGATCCCATGTAAGGAGGCGGGGCTGTCTTTCCAAAAGGGAGACATTCTTCAGATTCTGAGCCAAGATGATGTGACTTGGTGGCAGGCGAAACACGAAGGCGATGCCAACCCCAGAGCTGGCCTGATTCCCTCCAAGCACTTCCAGGAACGGTGAGCTGCTGGCACAGCATGGTGACTTTTCTTCAAATGACTTTCCATTCCCTGCAGAATATCACTCTAGCACAGTTATGATAAAATGAGCTTCAAACCCTGCCTGTGAATCTGTTTTCCCTTGGGTTTGGATTTGGAGCACTGTTTTGTCTAACTCATGACTAATGGCCAAGAGTAGTATGACAGTACTAGGTCCTCCTAGGTTGTTGTGAAACAAACAGGCACTAGCACATTTAGTATCTGAGTGTGGGCTGCAAGGAGAACACATAGTCATTTCGGGAAAGGAGAGTAACTTTAAAACTTGAGAAGTATCAGATTTAGTTCATTTGAACAGATTGCCTTGTATTCCTTCAAGAGCTTCCTTGTGGATTTTATATTTTGGTGCTGTGTTAACCTTGAACCTGTGCTGAAAGTTGATAGGCCCATTGACCTTTTCTTTCCCCAGAAGACTGGCGCTGAGAAGACCAGAAATAATAGTCCAGCCTCTGAAACTTTCCAACAGGAAATCATGTAAGTTTGTTAATAAGAATGCATGGAAACCTGATCTTACTGTTGGTTTCTGACTGTTAAAGCAGGTGCTCCAGGGAGGTGCTCTGGGAGGGGGATCATATTAGCCTGCAGGAGCTCTTGGGCCATCATTTCTCAGAAACCCAACAGAGAAAGACACAGTAGGGACAGTAATATGAATCTTTACAAGAAAAAAAATATGGTAGGTTGTTCATTGTGATGTCTGAGACAGTAACTTCGACTCTTAAGGACTGAATCAATAAAGCCTACAGTACAACTCTGTTTTTGTTTATTTGTTTGTTTTGTATTGCCCTAAGCCAGGAGGTTTGTGGTAAATTTTATTTCTCAGTAAAAAAGAAGGACAAACAAAATAAAACTATAGTTTTCCTGGGCATAAAAGCCTTCATGCCTAAGAGCAACCATGCTTCTTAGTTCCTTATCTACAAGTCACAACTGGGAACTTGATTCCATCTCCACAGAGTTGACAAACCAAACGGAAGGAAAATGAGAGCAAGGACTTACAGAATTACTGAAAGAGAGGGCTTGGGGACATTCTGTTTTTCAGTTTATCCTTCCTTTACCTTTTCTTTATTTTATACCCTCTCGGGTCTCCAACTTATACACTTCATCTCTCTAAATGTTCCATGTGTCTGGGCATTTTAAGACAGAAAGAGAAACAAAAAACTGTCTTCCCCCTTTAAAAAAAATAGAGATTGAATGTTAAACAGTGAAATGAACAAATAAATGACCCTGAAATCTTATACCAACATCTGTTTTTAGTTTTGTTGCATTTTTCACATCTCCTGTTATTTCCTTCAGTTTGCAGACACATACAGCTCAGGAATCACGTAGTAAGAAAGCCAAGCTTCAGCTAAGTGTAAATCTCACAGCAAGCCAGTATAGACATACACCAGTGAATAAAAAGCTTGCTTGATTTTGCTGTGTCTGGGTGGGAGGAAGACACTTGCTGTAATGCATGTGGTGGTCTGAAAAGTCAGAAGGTCTAAAGCTGATGGTGCATTATTTCTAAGTGTGGTAGCTTTTTCCTTGTTAGCTTCTCTAGCTTCAAGGAACTGAGCCTGGATATTGGATGGGAGTTTGCATAGTCGGAATATATTCAGTGCTTGTTAAATGAAATATGCCACTAAACAGTGAGGGAAATGAGACTACACTCAAATTTGAAAATGTATTCAGCTTTTAACTAGAGGGAACTTGGAAACATATCTTTTGAACTAATTGGGAATTTTCATCTATTTTGAAAATGAGCTGTGTTTCTTTAACGAACTATAAAGAAGGGGTCTCTTTTTAATTGCTCTCTCAACTTGGTATAAATGCATGTGGATGTGAATGTGTGTGGCTGTGAAGGGAGAGTGTTGGTGTGAGCATGAACTGGAGTGGAGGCTTTTGTCCATTGTTTGGCATCATTTCATTTTCATGTTAATATTTAAATGTTTGGATCTGCTGCGTATTTATTCCAAGAAGTATTTTTTATCAAATTATCACCTTAACTTGTTTGTTTGGTTGGTTGATTTTGTTTTATCTCTTGAATTCCACTCAGCACAGCCTGGGCTTCCTGTCCCAGCACTGCAAAACGAGAGAGACAGAAGTGGGCTTTCTGGCCCTTCCTACTTGCTCTTTCTTCTCTTCCTCTTTCTCTTTCCACCTTTTTTCTTGAACTCTTGGGTTTTTGAGACAAGACCTTGTGGTGTAGCATCAACCTTACGAGCTTTTTGTCTCAATTTACGATGCTGAAATTAAGGCCCGTGCTTCTGTATTTTCCTTTTTTAATACCTTGATTTTTATTCACTAAGAGATGTTATTTGCTTTTTTATTGTTCAAGTAAATCTGTCCAAGATTATGCAAATAAGCCACCAGCATATTTGAAAACAGCATTGCTCAGAGAGCCTGTATCTTTTATTCTCAGAGACTGAAGTTCCGTTTGAAATTTCTGTGGCTATTGTCTACAGAAATGGTTGTGTTAGCTCTGAATATTTTCAATGACAAGAAAAAGCATGTTAACTTATGTGTCATTCTGTTTTGTCTGTGTAGCCTTTGTGAGTACTGCCTGCCTCAAATGCTGAGCAGAGTTTTAGAGTGAGAAACCCCCATTGTCATACCCTTTCCCACACTACAAGACAGTTTTAGGAAGAAAAATAGTTGGTAGAAATGATGTTCAGTGCTTGAAAGAAAGTAATTGATGGGGCTGGAGAGATGGGGCGGCAGCCATGAGCCCATGCTGCTCTTGAAGGGGACAGGTCTGAGCGCCTGCACCACACAGCTCACAATCGCCTCTTCCTGTAGCACCTCTGTCCTCCTTGGACACCCACATATATGTACATACACATACACACGAATAGAGCTTTTTAAAAAAGTAGTGATTTGTAATTTTATGAAAAAATACAATAATGAAACAAAGTTTTTGAGAATAGCCCAGGCTGGCTCTGAACTCTCTGTGCACCCAGGCCGGATCCTCCTGCATCTACTTTCTGAGTGCTGGGTTTAACAGTGTGCTGTACCACACAAATAGTTTCTGAAGTGCTAGACTGGAACTCAGGGTGTTTTGCTTGTTATAGAACACTCTACTGGCTGAGCTATATCCACAGTTTCTAAAATGCTTTGAACTAAAATTTAAGTGTCCTCCAGACCCAGGAAGTACAGCATGCACTGACTTAGAAGTACTAAATTTCACCATGTGTTAAAACACATTCAATCACTCAGTTACGTCTTATCACAATGTGATGGTTTATGTCTGTAATTTTACTCCTTATTTTATTCCTGTTTCATACAACTAGACAAAAAAAGAGTTCATAGAAGATAATTCCAGACCCCTATAGTGACTCGGTTAACATTAACATAGAACACAAAAGCAGGCAAATTCTAGTCATGTTATCGTTTCGTATGTCTTTGTACTAGAGTTCTTGTTCTTGGCTTCAATGAAAATGAAACCAAGAAGATACTAATGAGCTCTCCAGACTTTGAGACTAGCATTTTTGTACAAAACTCCGGGAGCATGTGTGGGTGGCATTCATCCATACTTCTCCTTAAACCAAGAATTCTCAATATGTATCCAGAAAATAGGCTTCTCAAACAAGAGTGTTTGCTTCTTCAACAGTCCTGAAAACTAAGACAGAAAGAACTCTTACAATGAAAGTATTCTTAAACCTTGGGAGCTCGTTACAGGGATCCATCCCCTCTTCTCTCTTTGCCTCCCACCCCCATTTTGAAAAAATTGTTTATACAACAAAAAACTAAACTATAATTGAAAATATTTCCCACTGTTTTCACATAGTAGCTCTGTACCTGTGACACAGACAGAAGGACATATGTAACTGTCTGATAGCCTTCTTTGATAATGACCACCTTTGGGTTATTTCATCAAAGAGGCAGCAGCTGCTCAGGTCCTGGATCTGGGTTAGTGTCTCCAGTAGTAGCACATGGGAGTGCTTGATAATAAAGAGTTGGCAGCTTGTAATTCCTATGTTGCCATAATTTATTTTGTGCTTCACTTGCATGTATATGAATATCATATTTGCTCCATTTACTCAGAACACACTCTATTCTGTGAATGGAACCCAGGACCTTGTGTGTGCTAGCAAGCGTTCTACCATGAGCTATATCCTAGTACCTCAATTAGCTTGTAAGAAAGAGATAAATTTATTTATTTGAAATATTATTCCTTTTCTGTTGAAATACAGACATGTTATCTAAGAATAATCTTTATAATTGTATCCAAATATAATCTATAAATTAAGTATTTATGGCCTTCAGAATGATGGGTAGGGAAACCTCTTCTTCACATAGATCATTTTACAGCAGAATATCAAAGTATGATTTTTATTTTTAGTACTTAATTTTCCTTTATAGTTACCAAAGTATAATACCTCAATATTTTCAGACATAAAACTGAATAATACTAATTTAAATTTGTTACTTTAAAAATAGCTCTGTGGAATTTTTAGCATTATGTAAATAAATCTGCAAAAATTTTTAATATTTTAAAACGTAAAATCCCAAGCCATTTCACTTTAAGCATTTGTGATTTGAGGCTTGTAGACACAAAAGTAAATACTTAAATTCAGACAAAGAGCATCCATCAAAAGCAGGTAGGACCTACTCTTTACTAATTGACAGACAATGTCCAGTGAAAGAGTTTTAAAAAGCAAAGCCATGCCATTTTCTGTACATGGCACCAATATTTAAGGCCACATTTCAGGTTCTGAATGTTGATGTAATGAAGTATTTCTATTGAGCACATACCTTCCTGATGCCATCTTCAGTGTACGTAGTGTTTTCACACGTTATGTCAATTTAGAAACAGAATGTTTATGCTGTTAAACACTTTTGTATATATTAAAACTTTGTCAAGCATTTGCTTAATGTTGGTAGCAGAACAGAAACACATAGAGTTTCCTGTCAGGGGCTAGAGAGATTAGTCAGCAGCTGAGCGCATAGACTCTTGTGTAGACTCCAAGTTCAATTTCCACACCAATGTCAGGAAGCTCACAACTGCGTATACTTTCAGCTCCAGGGAGATCTGATGCCTCTAACTTCCTCAGACACCTGCATTGCCATACCCACACACAGGCGCGTACTTTAAAATATTAAAGACCCTGTGAATATCTTTTCTTTTTGCTAGCTTTCCAATACATGAAATACCTGGGATGATCAGCTTCATCAAGTGAAAAATTTCTTTTGACTCACAGTTTCAGAGGGCCCAATCCATAATCACTTGAACTCCTTGTTTTTGGCCTGTGGCCAGGAGGCAGTCATGGCTAAGGGTTGCATGTGAAGCAAAGATATTTATGTTGTAGCTAGGGTGTTAAAGAGGAAATTGGTTCTTCTGTCCCCTTCATGGGCACATTTCTGGGGTTCAGAAGCCCTCCCACTAGGTCCCCTTAAAAAGCTTCCACTTTCTCCATAGCATGGCAATATGGCCTTTGGCAACCTGGGTCCTAGCTAGAACACCCTAAGCTCTAACACCCTAATCTTCAGTGGTACTGTTG